ACCGGGCGTCGACACCCTGCCCGTCCCCGTCCACCTGCACAACGCCCCGACGCGCATCATGCGCGAGATGGGCTTCGGCGCCGAGTACAAGTACCCGCCCAACTACCGCGACGGCAAGGTCCGCCAGGACTATCTGCCCGAGGGCATGCAGGGCAGGCGCTTCCTCGAGGACAGGCATCTCGGGACCGAGGTTGATCCCGATCTCGAGATGGGGGATTCCTAGCTGACTCGAGAAAGGGTCTGGAGTACTATATATGGCATCTCTCGGGGGGGCTACGGGTAGAACGCACGCCCCGGAGTCGAGACGAAATCTTTACTGGTCACGGTGTGGATAGAAGAAGGTTGGTTTGGATGGCAAACAAAAAAGATACCCAATAGAGAGAGAATGAGAGAGAAACAATGCAACTTCTCATGTGAAATTTCTTCTCAGTCATCCACTCCCCAGCTTCTCGTGGAACCAGGCATCTTCCTATCATGCCCTCGTCACCCGACACTCGCCCGCAGCCTCGGCATCGCCCCTCTCCGATGTCACCTTCAGCGTCACGACGCCCTCGCCCGCCGCGTCAGCGACGGCGCCAACGGCCATCTTGGCAATGCCCACCTTGCCCTCCTCCACGACGAGCAGCTCGTTCGGCACGGCCACCCGCCAGCCCCGACCCTCGACCTGCGCCTCGAGACGGAAAAGATCAGCGCCCTCGCCCGTGTTCGTCACCTCAAACGAGCACGTGACGCCCTTCTCCGTCGGCTTGTTGTGCCGGAGGTCCGTCACGAGCCCCCTGCCGACCTCGACGCCGCGGCGCCCCGAATCGGCGGCCGCCGTCGCCCGGACGCCCCCGTATACGACAGCACGCCCGCCTCGCTGCGTTTTTTGTCGACAACGTAAAAGTGGAGCCCGTTGGCGGCGTCGACGTGCTCGGCCTGGCTGCCGGAGCGCGTGCCCCGCGTGGAACAGCGCATCCGCGAGCTGGCGGTAGTCGCCAATCGTGACGTACTGCGGCGTGCCGTCGGGGCGAACAAAGTCGACGAAGCCGAATGGTCCTGCGGGTTGGCGTCAATGGTCCATTGGAACGGCAGGCGGTCGCGCGTCTTGTCTTTGGAGAACATGACGCCCGCGTCCGACTTGGAACGAGTCGGGCGCCCATGCGGTCGACGACCTCGACTTCGTAGGTGATCGTATGGCCCCGCCGTCGCAGAACGGCGTTTGCTGTCGCGTTGCAGGCAGGCGTTGCGATCGCCGCCGTCCGCACCGAGGAGATGCGCAGACCGATGAGCTTCGCGGCAGGTTGACGAGCGGGCGTTATGTCGCGACGAGAAGCGCCGGATGCAATGAGGTCGGCACGCGACAAGATGCGCACCTCGTTCTCATCGGTGAGGCCGAGTTGGAGCTTGTCACGAACCGTGTGCAGTGAGCCGAGGGCCGCGCCCTGCAGGGCGGGCACCTGCCAGCGTGTGTGCGGACCACCGGGCCCGTTGAAGGAGCCGCGCGACATCATGGACCAGGGTCCTGTGTAAGCGCGCTGCGGCGGGTCAGAATAAGGGTTATTGTAGTTGTCGGCAATAATCAGAAGGTGGGAGAGCTCGTGGGCATAGACGCCCATGCCGGAGGACTCGCCCTGCGTCGATGAGCCGGCACCGGCGTTGGGCCAGAGAGTAGCTGCTGCCGCCCAGGAGGTCCAGGGCACGTAGCGGGTGCGGGCGGCGTTGGATGTTGCGTTGTCAACAGGAGGTCCGAACTCGGGAGGAACATCTTCGGGTGACTCCCAGCGCATGGGACCAAATTCCTGCCACGTCGAGGACTCATCCTGGCCGGCCGATAGGATAAAGACGAGGTCGTAGCTGTCGACCGTCTCGTTACCAACATCGTTGCGCAGGCGTTCAGCGCGTCGGTGCGAATATTGAGGTTGCAAGGAGGGCCAGCAGGACACTCTCCTGGGTTAAAGCGGTCGTCAATGCCGTACTGGTAGCTCAGAGCGGGTAGCTCGTACGCTCCAAAGACGGTCAGATCCACACCAAACCGACCGCCCGAGTCCTCCATCCAGTATTCATGAAGGGTGTGACGGTTGTTCAAATCGGTGGGCTTGTTGAGGAGGTCGCGGTAAAACGCAGGGACATCCTTGCGTGCAAAGCTGGCGGCGGCGGGTTGTGGGTTACCGAAAATGGTGGACCGCTCTGGCTGCGTGATGATGAAGGGCAGGTCTCGGTAGTCGACAGGGACGAGGGCAATGTTGAAGTTACGGATGGAGCCCTTCTGGCTCGGATCCGACCAATTTGTGCCCGGCGGCGGTGTAAAGTCCTCCCAGACCATGTCATCGGGGTTGACCCAATTCTGGGGATCAATGACGGCGAAGGGGTCGCCAGGGGGCGTGCAGGGCACGGCAGAAGCCCGCAGCGCCAGGGCCAAGACGGCCGGGAGCGCCGAGCGGCGTGCGAAGGCGGTAGTCTTCATGCTGAGGACGGGAGCAGAGACCCTCAACCAGGCTGGCTAGGTGAAGTCGACAACTGAAGATGGAGGCGGTTCTATGGCGGTCCAAAAGCTGCGAGCCAGCCGGCC